ATATTAATGTTACATGAAACAATTTAATTAAATAATTATTAAATTTAAAGTTAATTTTTATTTTTTTATATAAATTAATAATAAAAATATAATAATTATAAAAAATTCTTTCAATAATTTTTATTTTATAATTCAATATAATTTATATAGTAAAATAATAAAATTTTTTATTGAAAAATAGGTAGAAATGAAATTTAATTGGCTAATGATTGTAACCTTTTTTACTTTATATTAAATTTCATTTTTATAGTACTACATAAATTTTTTACCACTGAAAATGGACGAAGGTATTAACATTTACTGGTAAAATTTGAAATTATGGAAAAACCTTTACGAATATAGGATTGAGAATATGAACTTGAGTTATTTTAAAATAAGGACATCTCCATTGTATTAAAGAAAATAATGATATGATCTTTGTATTAATTGAAAATAATGATGATCTAAATGAAAAATTGACATGGACACAAGTGAAAATAGCTTCTTCTTTGTTTTTTTAGTGAATTATTTTCAATTGACAATTTATTTCCTTGACATGCTTACATAATATTTTTTTTGTCTAAATTATTCTTATTTTTAATTGATACAAACTTACAAAGAGCATTTTCTTATTTCAAAATAATTACTACTTCAAGTCCATTTTGTTTATCACATTTTTTCTTAGTATGGTTATAAAAAAAATTGCAAAATCTATAAAAACACCTTCTTATTAATTAAAATTTTATATTTACCAAGGTGTGTTCTTTTTAAAAATGGAGTAATAATTAGATAGCTAAATTAAAATAAAAAAAAAACTTTAATGTTACGTTAAAAATTAAAAATGATAAGCAAATTAAACCACCTCTTTTTAAAATATATAACAAGTAAAATGGGCTTCAAGGAGTAATATTAGTGTTTTTTTTTTTTCAAATTATGAATTTGATGAAAGTTTGTGCCCTCATTCTTGCTTTATGCATTTGCAATTTTGCATCCAACTATGAGGGAAGTGGAAAGCGGGAAGTCCCTTGGTTTTGTCCGAATACAGTTCCGTCTGTACTTATACTCAAGTGGTGGTAACAGTAACTAATACCTGTATCGGCGTTTTTGGATAAGGGGTGATATATTGATAATTTTTTATATAATTTTTATATATTATTAAATACATATATTTAATATCATTAATTTTTTTAAAAAAATTTAATATTATTAATTTTATTTAAATAAAAAAATTATTTATTTAAAATGATACATAAAATTATATAAAAATAATAATAACAAAAATTATTCTTAAATAATTTTTTTTAGGCAAACATCAAGTAGTTAATACAGTGAATATATTTATTTATTTAAAATGATTCATAAAATTATATAAAAAAATAATAACAAAAATTATTTTTAAATAATTTTCTTTGCACAAGCATCAAGTAGTTAATACGGCAAATATACGGTTACACATGGCGCCTGGCGATTGGTCCAATGGAGAGAACCGGGAATGCTGACGCGAGACGTCCGCACGTCGCTGTCTGAAAGGAGGTCTCCCCAAAAACCGAAAAGGGCACCGAAAAGCAGTGAGTAGTGATGGCCTAATCAGTTCGTGCCAAGCCTTGATTAAAGTGCCCTTACAAAAACACCACTCCTTTATCCCTTATTTACAACTCTGCCATTCTTTTTTTTTTTGTTCTCTAACCGCTCCTCCTTCCGTCGATCCAACCGCAATTGACAAAATTACCCTTTGCTTTTTTTTTTCTCCTCAATTATTTTTTATGTAAATATTATGGGTTAAATTTTAAATTTATAATTAATAGAGGATATGTTTTAACAATAAAAATGTTAAGAATGATGATAAAAAGACTAAAATATCTTTAATAAATCAATTAACAAAAAAAGATTAATTAAAACTATTTGAACAATTACATAAAAGGCTAAATATATAAATTATCCTCTAAAATTATAAGATTGAAGCAAATCACAATAAAAAAATTGTTAACGGAATTTTCCACCTCAAGTTTCCATTTTTGGGATATCAACTCAAATTTAACTGTTATAGTTAAATTTTGTTAAATTATTATTTTTTAAATCTAATAAAAAGTTAATAATAATTATAAAGTTTGAATCAATTTCTTAAAAATCAAAACTTAAGATAGCAAATTATATTAATATTTTTTTGTGATGATTTATTTTAATATAATAATTTTAAGAAGGAATCTACACCTTTTGCACTTTTCATGGAAAGTTTTTTTATGCAATGGTAAAAAAAAAACACACTTCTTTAAATTTAGAAAGATACAATTTCAATTCACCAATCGAATTGTAAGTATCTAACATATTCATATATAATGATTTTTCACAAAGCAGTGACTTAAAGGACAAATATTTTTAGTTTGCAATTCAATATGATCCATTAGTTCGTATGCCTATTTAATTACTGAATTGTAGACATTTTTGAAACACCTCTAATAGAGGGATAAGTAGTCAATTTGAAAAGAACTTATTGTCAACCACTTTCAAATACGAATTTATTTGATTAAGAGAAGAGGAACTTACATTAGTATCTCAATTTCAATTTAAATGGAAATACACAATGATTTTACTTTTTCCAATTAAAAATATTGAAAACTTTACTATTAAATTGTATGCTTTCTACTTAACTTTAATAAGTCTAGTTTTTTTTAATAAATAAAGATATAATAATTCATTAATAAATTTTATATTTATCTTTAATTAAATAACCTTTAAATAATATTACTATTTTAGATATGTCGTAATTATTTTTTTAAAATAAGAGTAAAATAAAAATAAACATATTAAATAATATCTTTAAAAAATAAATAATTAAACTTAAACATTATAAATTAAAAACTAAACCTGTCAAAGTTTAACAAAGGAAATATGCAGATAATATCAATATTATGTGTTCTGATAATACTGTACTCTTAATTACATGTTCATGATTCAGACCAACTGTTTTTTTCTCCCAGTCTATAATGAGTCCAAATAAGGTAGTTCCTTCTTGTAACTTGTTGGCTACACCAACTAAGTAAACAAATGATAAAAAGCTAAAAAAAAAGGGAGAAGAAAAGTTAGCTACCCTATTTGCCCTTTTTTCATAGGGAAGTTGGTTACAACTAAATTTCGCACCATAGAACTTTATTCTTTGATTGGTGGGGTTTTACCCATTACATGCACTTTGTTATCTTGAGATGAAGTATTGCGCATAATGTACAATCAATCATGTTAAAGAAACTGAGTTTTCCTTGAGGTTATTTGGATTTATGGTTTAAATGTAGTAAGTAATAAATACGTGATATTTAATAATTGATAATTATTATTATATTATTTATAATTTAAAATTTTTATTGTATTATTTACAGTTTAAAATTTTTATTTATTTGATTAGTTTAAATTTTTATACCAAATACTTCCTCATTAAAAGAATATTATTATTTTATAATATTTTATTAATTTATACTTTTTATTTTTAAATAACTAATTATGATATTTAAAAATATTTATTTATAAATTAGTTTTAATATATTAATTAATAAATATCAATTATTTTATTAATTATTCTTAATAATTAAATTAATAAAATACTAATTAATATTTTGTGATATTAATGAAAATTTATTACAAAATTTATACTTTTTTATGCAATACTTTTAACTATTTATACAATACTTTTTCTACCAATTTTGCCGTAAAGATTTTCCCAACAAATTGCCTTCTACTCCTCGCTAAAGGTTCTCTTTGCAATGATGGGAGGGAGAGAGGTAAAATAATATGGAAATAGAAGAGAAAGAATGATGGCGTTGTTGAAATTTAGTTTTCATGCAAGGGTACTTTTGTCAATGAAAATGCAGCCATATAAAGACATCATCTAGTTAACAACTTGGCGTGTATAAGTTGGCTACTAGGATGGAAATTGGATAGGGATGTAAACGCAAAGCAAAGTTGAGGAAAGTAAAAGCGTTGATTTGTGCTGAGTGGGGTGGAGGAAGCATACCTTTTTCTGCTCATATTAAATTTTCTTCCAATAATTTTCTCTTTTTGCAAGCGGAAATATGATAACAATTAAACATTTTCTAAGCATTATAGTAGTATTTTTTTGGGTGGATGGTATGGGATAGAGACAATGGCCTGTGCAAGACTGCAAGCAGACATTCTACCACCATATTCTTCTTCTTCCATCTTCTTTCTTACACTGATTTTTTCCTAGTTATTTCGTAATAGTGCTCAAGAATCATCCGCTTAATTAGCTTTCTGTTTATTCAACCACAACAAGAAATTGTAACAGGGTTAGTGTCAATTTTGTGTATAGAGATATCTTTGGTGAATTATTGTGGGGTCATAGTTCAAACTCAAGCCTTCCCCACCCACATGGTTGATGTGTGATTTAGGGAATTTAAACACCACTAAGAACTAGGGTTCCTCTCAGATTCTTTGTCTGGAGTTGGGTTTTGTGAGTTGATGTTAAATTTCGAATCTTTATGTCCGGGTAGTTTGGCCCATTTCTTGTTCTGGGCAGTGGTTGGTAGCTGAGAGGATAAATCAAATTCTGTTTAGTATTAGAAACTGGGAATCTTGGGATTCTTTGATTCTTTTTTGTGGCTGTGTGAATTTTCTTATCTTCCTCAATTCTTCTGGGTTTTCTTTTGCATTCTGTGTTTGTAGGTATAGTGTTGGATAAGGTAGCATCTTCTCCACATACACACAGCACCTGTTCCAACTTTTCAATTTGGAGGGCTTTTTTTCTTCTTTTCTGGTTCATCCTCTGCTTTTTTAATTCTTATTCCAAGTTTTGGTTTTGGTTTGGGGTTTTGTTAGACAGTGCCTGTAGATTTGACAGAATTGACAGTGAGTCTCTCTGTCTCTCTGTAGTTTTAGCTGGAATTAACTAGAAGTAATACCCAGTTAAACTGGGTGCTCTCTATTTAGCTGGAATTGGTTACTGTTTCGAATGAGTTCGATCCATGTATTAGGGTTTTGGTTAAAGGTGGGGCATCTGCTTTGGTTGGTATGTTGCTGGATGGTTTCTGTGATTTCCATGAACTGGTTCGTTAATGGTGGGATTCAGGACACCAAGGTTGCTCTCCTTGGTGATGGTGGAAAGATGTGGGTCAAATGGTGGGAGAAGATCTCAGGATACAGCCTCAAGATCCACCACAACTATTATCAGTATATTGGGTCCAAGAGAGTTACCAAAACATGGTGGAGAAAGCTCTTAGTCACTTGGGTAATTTTTTGGATCATGGTGTCTCTCTGGATCTTCTGGTATATGAGCTCACAAGCAACTGAAAAGAGGAAGGAGGCACTTGCAAGCATGTGTGACGAAAGAGCTAGGGTGTTGCAGGATCAATTTAATGTTAGCATGAATCATATCCAGGCGATGTCCATTTTGATCTCAATTTTCCACCATGGAAAGAACCCATCTGCTATTGATCAGGTAAGTTATCTAATTTTAACATTATGGCAATTCAGAATACAGGGGTAGTTGAGATTGATAATTATGTGCTTGTAGTTTTTCATTGCCTTGCTTTAGTGTTCTTCCTGTCAGTTGTAGTCAATTATTAGTGATGGGTATTCTGTCCCATCTTAAATCAGAACTAAATTTCACATATTTGGTCATTGAATTGCTTGATAGGGATCAACTTAGGGTTTTTGATGTTGTATTTTTGCTATAAATGTATGAAAAAGTTATTACATCAGGACTCCCAATGCATTGTATAGGTTTTCAAATGATAAAATTTGATGAATCCAGAACCACTTCTGAGTTATGTAATCTATGAATTTTTCTTGGTTCTTTCTAAACAACAAATGAAACTCATTTTAAGAACTTGTAGAGGACTTTTGCAAGGTACACAGAAAGAACTGCTTTTGAAAGACCCCTCACTAGTGGTGTGGCATATGCTGTAAGGGTTCTCCACTCTGAGAGAGAACAATTTGAGAAGCAACAAGGGTGGACCATTAAAAGGATGGATACACTTGAACAAAATCAAGTCCACGAGGATGAGTATGCTTCAGAAGCCTCGGAACGATCCCCAATTCAGGAAGAATATGCTCCTGTTATATTTGCACAGGATACCATTGCACATGTGGTTTCACTGGATATGCTGTCTGGAAAGGTAAGTTGTGGTACATGATGAAAATGTGGCTGATTCTGTGTTCTCTAATTTGGAAGACTTATTTAGATTGCAAAAACCATGTGGCTGGTTTCGTTCGGAAACTTGAGTTCTTGTATGTTATCTTTTGTCCTGAAGTTTTAGTTTCTTGTATACCAACAGGAAGACCGTGAAAATGTCTTACGTGCAAGAGAATCAGGAAAAGGAGTGCTAACTGCTCCATTCAGGTTAATCAAAACGAAACGTCTTGGAGTTATCTTGACATTTGCAGTCTATAAGAGAGATCTCCCCTCAAATGCAACTCCAAATGAGAGGATTCAAGCAACTGATGGGTATGTTTTGAACTTAACATAAATAAATGTTGTGCAGAGGAGATGAACAATCTCATCTGTTTGCATCATAAAGTCTATAATGTCATCCTTTAATTTAAGGCTCTATTAAGATGTTCTCATGGATATCACCAGGATAATCACAAGTAAATTCTCATGATATTTCCTTCCTTGTCAGGTACCTTGGTGGTGTCTTTGATATTGAATCACTTGTTGAGAAGTTAATTCAACAGCTTGCTAGCAAACAAACCATCCTTGTAAATGTGTTTGACACTACCAACTACTCTCATCCTATCAGCATGTATGGTTCAAATGTATTTATAGATGGGATGGAGCATGTTAGTCACCTCAACTTTGGAGATCCTTTCAGAAAGCATGAAATGCGATGCAGGTAGTTAATAACTGTTCCTTGCCTTCAGTTTTGGTTGTCAGCTTTATCTGGTGATTCAGGCTTCCTGTGTTCTTTTTTACCAATCACAGCAAAAAAAGTTCCATTGTTTCTATATAAAGACCATGATTAGATGGCCATGTCATATGGTTATCCAGTCCACCTTTTTATGGAGCCACAGTTTTACTGCTCTTGTTATGCAAAGAACTGGGTGATCTTTTACCAAGCACCAAATCCCTTTTTCCCTTCCTACTTTTAAAGAAAACACGTAATGAACTAATAAGAGATATGGACTAAGTTTGTTCTCAACACAGGTTTAATCATAAGCCGCCATGGCCATGGCTAGCAATGACAACTTCAATTGGCATCCTTGTGATTGCATTGCTCATTGGCCATATATTCCATGCAACCGTTAATCGAATTGCCAAAGTTGAAGACGATTGCCATAAGATGATGGAGCTCAAAAAACAAGCAGAGGCTGCTGATGTTGCAAAATCACAGGTATGTGATAATTCTAGTTTGTTCTTTAGAAATTTTGACCTCTTTCGGATATGGTCCTAATCAAGTTCCAACCTTCTGTAGTTCCTTGCCACTGTTTCCCATGAGATTCGAACCCCAATGAATGGTGTTCTAGGTGAGTTTTGGGACTCGTGTTTATTCCTCTGAGGTCATTTTATGTATTTCATGAGCTGGAAAAGGTAAAAATAGAATAAAAAAGCAATGCAAAGACATGACAATGAGAAATTCACTTTTCAGGAATGTTGCATATGCTTATGGACACAGATTTAGATGTAACACAACAAGAATACGTCCGAACTGCACAGGCTAGTGGTAAAGCTTTGGTCTCCCTTATAAATCAGGTTTTGGATCAGGCCAAAATTGAATCTGGTAAGCTTGAGCTTGAGGAAGTGCTGTTCGATCTCAGAGCAGTTCTGGATGAAGTGTTGTCACTTTTTTCTGGGAAGTCGCAGGAAAAAGGAGTAGAGGTAAGATATCTGTGTTTCTGTGCTCCATATCTCCTGTTTTTTTTCTTAATCCAACTGCAGATTGTCTGACATACTAAAATTTATGTAATCTATGTGCTGCTGAGAACAGCTAGCAGTTTACATTTCTGATCAAGTTCCTGAAACGCTAATTGGTGATCCTGGGAGATTTCGTCAAATCATCACCAATCTCATGGGGAACTCAATTAAAGTAAGTTTGTGGTGTGTCAACATTGAGTGCATATGCTGTAAATGTGAGAATTTTAGATCCTTTCTGATGTGTTCTGGCACTATTGAAGTGAACATGATCTACTTGATTATCAAACTTGAATATGTTACCAGATGTCCTAAAGCTTTTTTTCCACATTTTATCTGGGGAGAATGACTGAAACAACTAGAAGTTGATGGAAATTTAAAAGCTTAACTTGTTTGAAAGATTTGTTTTATAAGTTGTATAAAGGGCATGATAATTTTCATTGTCTATGAATTTTGTACTTACTTTATAGGATCATGGAATATTTTCTGGTTCCACCCTACTCCTCCTCCCACTTTTTCTTCTTAGAAAGCTAAAAGTTCTATCTATTACTTTATCCTTTTGCTTAGGCATTGATGTAACTTAATTTATATATTTGGCAGTTTACTCATAAGGGACACATTTTTGTTACTGTCCATCTTGTTGAGGAGGTAATTGACTCGATAGAAGTGGAGACAGAATCATCATCGAAAAACACTTTAAGTGGTTTGCCTGTTGGAGATAGACAGCACAGCTGGAAAGGTTTTAGAGCTTTCAGTCAAGATAGCTCCATTCCTTCAGTCACTTCATCAACCTGCAATAGTGTTAATATAATTGTATCAGTGGAGGACACGGGGGATGGAATTCCACTGGAAGCACAGCCTCGCATTTTTACGCCTTTTATGCAGGTTGGTCCATCCATTTCCCGATGTGGAGGCACAGGGATTGGGCTAAGCATAAGCAAATGTTTGGTTGGCCTCATGAAAGGGGAAATTGGATTTGTAAGCATACCAAAAACTGGTTCAACCTTTACATTCACTGCCATTTTCACTAATGGCTGCTCCAATTCAAATGAGTACAAAGGCCAGCAAGTCAAAAACCAGTCTAACTCTATGTCTTCTGAGTTTCAAGGCATGAGAGCAGTGGTTGTGGACAACCGATCTGTCCGTGCCAAGGTGTCAAGATATCATATCCAACGGCTTGGAATTAATGTTGAAATGGTTACTGATTTCAATAAAGGTTTATCCAGTATAGTGAGGGCAAATGCTGTTCCCCACATGGTTTTTATTGAACAGGAAGTTTGGGACAAGAATCTGAGTGCTTCAAATCACTTCAGTGATAGTTTACAAAAAATTGATCATGGAGTTCCTCCAAAACTGTTTCTTTTGGGTAACTCTATCAGCTCTTCCAGAGCAAATCCAACATCATCTGGTATTTATTGCCCAAGTGTAATTATGAAGCCTCTAAGGGCTAGTATGCTAGCTGCATCTTTACAACGAGCCATGGGTGTTGGGAACAAGGGGAATCTCCGTAATGGGGAGCTACCTAGCCTGCCACTCCGTAATCTTCTTCTTGGAAGAAAAATTCTAATTGTTGATGACAATGATGTGAACCGCAAAGTAGCTGCTGGTGCTTTGAGAAAATATGGAGCTGATGTGGTTACTGCTGAGAGTGGAGCAAGGGCTATTTCACTGCTTATGCCACCCCACCACTTTGATGCATGTTTCATGGATATCCAGATGCCAGAAATGGATGGGTAAGTGATGCTTCATTGCTCTCAAAACTTCCTCTGTTGTATTTCTATAGTGTGGGGGACTATGGGTTACTAACAATAATTTTCATTGCAGCAGCGTATTTCTCTGTTATATTATGGCTTTACTGATGCATATTTTATGCTGATATATTTATCTAGAATTATCTAATATTTGCTTCCGCAGGTTTGAAGCTACCAGGACAATTCGGGATATGGAACAAAATGTAAACAACCGCATTCAACATGGAGAACTGTCAATTGAAGTGTGCAACAATGTTTCAAGTTGGCATGTGCCTATTTTAGCCATGACAGCAGATGTAATACATGCCACAAATGAGGAATGTCTAAAATGTGGAATGGATGGATATGTGTCTAAGCCATTTGAAGCTGAGCAACTGTATAGGGAAGTTTCACGCTTTTTTTAATCAGCATCAAATAGGAATCAATAGAAATGACTCTGTTGAAGACATGCTGATAGCATGAGCAAGAGCACCTGCTTTTCAGGATTGCATTGGAAGATGCTTAAATAAATACAGATGTTTCCCAAGAGTGAGTTCCCCCCTGACCTCTACTTGTCCTTTTCCCAGTTGAAAGGTTTATGCATGTTCAAGTCTTGCAGAAAACCTTACTATTTTATACTAAACTATTAACATCTTGCTATGCTTCGCATGTGTGCAGGAAAACGTTTGTTCTGTGGCAGAGAGTACATAGAAGGATATGCTAATTCATCGGGATTTAGTTTTCTCATTTTTGTGAAGCAGATAGCAAAGCAAAGCTTCGTCATTTTTGCATGTAAACCTGAGCTCATGATTCGCATCTCCGTACCATGCCTTGCTTCAGGGTTGGTAAAATTAAAAATTCCTGTGCATATGGTAAAATTCTTTGGTACGACTTTGAATTCAGAATGACCCCTTGGAGATGGATGGACGGATGGAAGAAATTCTCTTTCTTTGCTGTATGATAGAATTTTGTCCTCCTAAGTAGTAATAAAAACTGCAAGAAACAGGAAGAGGGCTGAGCTTTCTCTTCCTTTGGATGTTGTTGATTGTATCAGAGGCTTGTTGAATAGCAGTAGTTGGGAACACCATGTATATTAAACATAAGAAAGATAATATATTTTGTATCTAGTACATACTCCCATTTTTCTTTTATTATTTTTTTACTTATACAATAAGAAATAACTTTCCTTCTCTTATATTCCTCTCCTTCTATTACAAGGATTCGAGGCGCTTATTGGTTATATAATACACACTCCTTTTCCTTTACCTTCGTTGATTTGTACTTGCACTATCCCTTTTAGTGCTATCAAGACTGCAAATGATTCACATCTCCTATCAGATTGGGTAGATATGAGCATTAAGCTTTTAAGATGGGACCACTACAGGTATTAAAGGAGATATTTGCCTAGAATTTTCTATCCTTGAGGAACTCTTTCCTATGTAACGTGAAATGAAATCTGCAGCAACGAACACATACAATAATAAGTATTACGTTAAATACCCTTAGCAACAATGTCGATATGTCCGAGTGGTTAAGGAGACAGACTTGAAATCTGTTGGGCTTCGCCCGCGCAGGTTCGAACCCTGCTGTCGACGTCTAATTTTTTAGTTCCATTCTTTTAGGTGTACGGCACGCAAAACGCAGATTTTAATGGTTTCACGTGTTTGGTCTCATGGGATGGGCCCAAGCTCTTTAAATGGATTCAATACCGTACTGGGCTTTCAAGTTTCACCTACCAATCCATTTCCCTCTTAAATTTCGAAAAGAATAATGTCCTTATTATTGCAGCAAAAAGGCGAGGCCGCGGGGGAACTGATGGAAAGTTTTCCCATTCTTTAGGAACCGAAGCCTGGACCTGGAAGTCTGAATTTGTTCTTTTTATTTAAATAATTATGTGAGTTGTTGTACACATTTAATCTTTTGATGCTACGTGTTCGGTATGTGTTCAAAATTGCTCAAAAATTATTAACTTTAAAATACACAAAAATTATTTTGAGGATACTTTGGCTATCAAAAAAAAAAAAAAAATCTGCATGTCGACTGTGGACTGTACATGGAAGGTCATCTCGTCTCGTGACAAAATACCAGTTACTGAAGATGGTGTATGTTGAAGCAAAAGCAATCCAACAAGTAGTTCCATTTGCTTCTCTGTTGATATTGGTATATTTGGTCTGGTATAATATTATTATTTTTACTATTTTAATGAGAAATATAATTTTATTGATATATTAAAATTATAAAAGTTATAGGAGCAATTTAGTTATACATGAGAGGAATTCTACTCATAAATTACGTGAAATTGTAAAATTAAATGATTTAATACCTATATAAATATTACAATCAAACTTGAACTTGAGATTTAATAGTTATGTAGCATTCTAGTATAATTCATCTAGACAAAAGAAAAATTAATTGGAGTAGAAAAATTTAGTTAGGAACCTTGTTCCCAACCATGCCTTGAATAACTGAACCAAATACAACAATTAATTTGAGTTCAACTAATATCGCATTCAAGTTACCATCCTTTCCCAACAAAAAAATGAATCCTAATAAAAAGTATTGGGCAAGTCTAGGCATAAACCTTTAAAAAAGAGGGAGATACCTCTACAAGAGAGGGAAAAACCTCACAAGAGAAAAAGAACTCTCAAAGTTAGCCATCTACTATAACTGAAGGGGGAGAGAGATAGCACCAGCTAGGGGAAGAAGAAAACAAGAGGAGAAAATTAGGGCAAGAGAAGGGAGGTGTGACTAGAGTTTTTGGGAATTTATTTGTGGGTTTGGCCAATTTTAGTATCAAATTATAAAAATCAGTTATTTAAAGTTAATTTAAAATATTGGTATTAAGGCTTGAAACTTTAGTCATTATTCAAATATGAATTCAAAATTACCAAGAAACACAATCATTCATAAAAAATAGACATATCTATTTATTTTTAAATGAATAGAGATAATTAGTCAATAAATAGTTATATTTTGTTAAAGTACATAACTCTTGGCTATGACTTTTAAGTTGCTATACAATGACAAGTGTTTTTTTTAATAGAAAATAGAGATTATATTGAATATAAAATAAAAATTACATATGAATCCCTTATTTAGACACTTAAAATTAAGAAAAATTCACCTACAATAATAGATACGGCAAAAATTATGCCCATGACAAATATGAATAACTAAGTTTAAAGAGCCAATATACATACATATTGCCATGCAATTGCCGTAGGGGTATAAATAGAGCTACAAAAATAGAAAGAATATCACAATGAGCACCCTAAGTTACTAAACATTCCCAATTGCTATACCAAACTTTAGGTAGAGCATGTGATTTGGTAAACAACAATTTGAATATTAAACAACGATATGCATTAGTTTAAAGGAGAGTTGGAGTCTTTTTTCATAACCACCCAAGCTATACTCAAATTTACCTAAAAGAGAGTCACCACCACATTGTCTTCTTCTTCAACATGAGTCAAAACCCAATGAAAACTATTGAGAGAGAGCCTATGAAAAACCCTTACAAAGGGGATAGACTCCCACATAGAAGAGAGAACCCTCAAAGAGGAAGAAACTCTCAATTTTATTCATCTTCTTTAGCCACCTTGAAAGAGAGAGAGGCAATGGTTAGAGAGAAAAGAAGAAAGGTAACAAATATAGGGAAAGAAGGAGAGAGGGTTACTAGGGTTTGTTGAAATATTATTGAGTGACAAGTGTTGAATGCTGGAGAATCACAAACTCACAACAATCTCTTAATTTTATATTTACAAAAATGTATGAGTTGAGTTCCTTAAAACTCAAGCTCAAACTTGATGTTACTAAAATGAGTCAAGTTGATCGTAAGTTTTCAATGAGTTCAAATATACTAAGCTTAAACTCGACTTGCGAACTTAATTGATTATTCAAATTTAATTTAAAATTGTAAAAACTAAAAATAAAATTTTAAATATTCAATATATAATTATTTCTAAATATAGTCAAGTTAAGTTGATAGTCTAATTTAAATTTGACTTAACTCGATTTTTGGATCTCAAATTTAACTTCAAACTTAAGATCGAGTTGAATTGAATTTAACTTAAATTTAAGTCGAGTAACTTGATTCATTTATATACAATCTTGTATAATTCATTTATATAGTTTGGTCTCCAAAACTACAAATTTCTATGCTTAAGATCACCAATGCACTACTTGGGAACATGAATTTGATAGGGTATATTTGAATTTGAACACTTCAAATTCAATATTATTGTTTATTTTTACTTAAATAAAATGTAATTAAATTTAAGTAAAATACATGTATTTTACCCAAGTGTTTGAAAGACTTAAAATCCACGTATTTCAAATTCATCCTTCCACCCATGAATTTCAATTTCAAACCCTGTATTTTCTCCGCACCTTGACGGCTATGAAGCCTCCATTGTGACTTCCGTTCATCGTTGACTCCGCCACTGCTCTCTCACCTTCTTGTCATCGCCTACAACTTGAGTCAATTTTCCTATCAATTCGCCAATTGGTATCATTTTGTACAAGAGATCTAAGCTCGGCGGTGAGCTTTGACAAGTGCTGGATTTTTCTAGGCGATTTGGGTTTGGTTTCTTGTAAATAAAGAACCGAAGATTTTTTTTTTCCGCCATTGTGATTGTAAGAAAGAGAAAGGAAAGCAGAAGGTTTGAAGAGTTTCAGTTGTGTCTTTCTTTCCTTTTTTATTCTTTCTTTTATCTCATATGCGTGGATGTAGGGATTGGACTTGTGTAATGTTGGAGTCAAATAACAACCTTTGTCTGAAATGGGTCTTCGTGAGTTCTTATATAGATTGCAAAGACTCAACTTTTGGCAGCGGCAACAGTGGTGGCGATGGTGGTGGTGGTGGCGGTGGCAGGTTAGCCAAGGGAGGAGCCCACAAATGGGAGTTGAGTCCTAGAGGAATGTTGGTTCAAAAACGAAACCCTGATTCCACAATGAAAGCTTTGGTTCATCTTCTTTTCTTTCTCTCTTCTGCATCGTTTTCTTTGGTAGGCGTTTAAATTTTTTCTTGCTTTTTGTTTACTCTTTTCATTTTTTTTTTGGTGCTTAGATTCTCTGTTTTCTTGAATTTGATTTGGCACATAGCGAGGGTCTTGTTTATGTGTTGATTTTGCTCAAATCTTTTTTAATTTAACCTTTTCTTTTGAGTATTTGAGAGATCCTTATGGTTGTTAATTTTTTTTTTTTTGGATAATTTTTATTTTAAGGCGAGATCTCAAGTATGAGAGTTTTGTATTATTAACGTCTTATATTTGTTTCTCGAGAAAGTTGAGGAAAATTTGAGGGAAGAAAATATATGGATAGGTTAGATTTCCTTAGTAATCTCTCTCTCTGTTTTTTTTCTTTTTTATTTATTTTTAGAGGGACATGAAAGAAAATTTGGTTGTAAATTGTCCTACATCTCCTTTGCTATGCCATATTTTTAATCAATTCTAATGTTTTAATTGAAGGGGATACTAGATATTATGATGACTTTTTTTAATTTTAAAAATTATAAATATTGGAATAATCACATGAATTGATTATTGAAAACTTATCTCA